AGACACCAAGTCACCTATCATCATGTCTTTGTACTGTGGGAAAAAGGCAGAGTACCTGGAGTAAACCTGCAAAAGTCCAGCCATACAGGTGTGAGCGCAGCATACCCCACAACAAATATGCATAACGTATTTAGTTTCGGCGTATCGGAAATGTGCTCTTACACGTTCAGGATCTATAAGATAAGATGGAAGATATTGTGAACGAATATTAAAATAAAGCTGCCAATTACTTTACATGAATATACGTAATACACATCTATTTCAAAGTTAACCCTATTCCAGAACACACATGTGACATCATGTGAAACTGTCTGATTTGCCTCAATTTATGCAAAAAAGATGTCCCTTCAGGATATATTTTTTTTATATACATGAAATAACCCTCATTACTGTTCAGGCTTATGTTAGACTGTACAAATTTCTTTTTCCGATGTAGTAAAACAAAGGGGCATATTTTTTATTAAGCAATATATATAAACATTCCAATGATAGAAATTATATTATGGTAATAACGTTAAATAATGTACATCCCAGATGTATGCATGTCTCTTTATGAAAAATACTGATAATTCTTTATCCCTGGATGACTTTCATTCATTAGGTACCAAACTTACTATTATAGCTGTTATAAATGAGGTCTTTATCAAAATAATTTTCTGTACGAAATGTGAACTAATTTTTTAGAAACAGTATTTTGCTCTGATATTTTGTGATATATCAAAAATATACAGTTAAAAAAAGTACAAAACTATATTTTGTACAGTAATATAAAGAAACATTTTATCGTAGAATATACATCTTTAGCTTTTAAAACAGAATAGCATCTATGAACACCTAGTGGACACTTACTAATTTACCCTAGTACCCTAGTATCTGTCATTTGCTGAGCTCCAAAATCTAGTGCTAAAGGTTCATTATCCTGTACAATATTTCAAGACCACTACATCTAAACATGCTCTCCCAAAGTCTGCTTTTTAAGTGCATCAGTTTACGTTAAACTGTACATCTTTTAAAAAAAAATGTCTCAGTCTGTACAACCTTTAACAATGAAGGCACCTTTAATACCCCATAGGGTTAATGAATTCTTCTAATAAGAAGAAGATGAAGAGGAGCAGTTGCAATGTTAAAAAGAAAGCACTGCAGGGTGCCCGTAACAGATGACGAAAACCACAAAGGATGAATGTTCTACAGAACAAGGGAACTTCCAGATACACCCTTGTTCTGAAGTTTAGAACACTGTCATGGCCAGCCCTGAGCCATTAACTTGCAATTCTGATGCATGGTTTGCTGGTTAGCATCGTTGCTAGCCAACACTTATTCTGTTTTTGTTCAGTTCCCTCTCCAAGTTGCCGATAAGGGTGTCGATGCTCTCCTGCAGATCCTTGAGGTTGACCCTGTTACTTAGGACTGGGGTAAAGTTCTGGATCTTCACAAACGCCTGGTACCTGTGCTCGTTGACTAGGTGCTGCTGGGTTGTAAAAACGGGACCGGTAGGAACGTGCGCTCGGACGTCCACTGAGCTGCTCTCCTCGCCCTGTTCTTCACCCTGACGTCCGCCCTTCTCCTCTTCTGCTGGAGGCGCCTGTTCTGGCTTCTCTTGCAGATCGCCTGTGTCCTGCACATCCTCCGACGGCACGTCGTCATAGTCGACGTCCTCGCTGACCGGCGCTTTCAGTGGCTGCAGGTAGCTCTCTCCACAGCGGCTCCAGTCCCCCGCGTAGCGGTTGCTGGGACTGTCCAAGCGGCCAGGTTTCGGCCGGAGCACGCCTGCAATCTCCTCCTCGCTCACGTTCAGCACCTGTGGACGCTCCCTGCGCCTGCGCAAGTACTGGGGGGCAACAGCCACCTCGGCTGGGGGCTCCTTCACCGGAGAGGCCGCTGCGCTTTGGGAGTCTATGACTGAGGAACAGAACAAGGAAGGAACAGACTAAGTGTTTCTTCACGCACTTTAGATGGGAGACACAGTTAAGAGAAACCATGCAATGCTAGAGAATGTCAGATATTAAAGCCCTTACCTATATGGTTGATTTTGGATAATGTTTAAGAAATTAAACAATTTGGTGGAGTTAACCCACTTTGGTCATTTATAGCAGTTTCTCAAACCAGTCCTTGGGGACCCCAAGACCCCAGGTCTACATTTTTGCTCTGGACTGTCTGGGGATCCCAGAGGACTGGTTTGAGGAACACTTATTTATGGGATATATTGTGCCAATAATAACCTCTTTGTGGTACAAATATCTTCTAAGGACTTATCCAGGCCAAGGTCATGTGGGGGGGAGGGGATGTTGTTGGAGCATATCCCAGATGTAATAAAGCACAAGGCTGGGGTACACCCTAGGGCAAGACGCCAGTCCTTTGCGGGGCTCTTTGAACCGTGGGAGGGAAATGGAGTACACAGAGCAAGGCCGTGCGACCCGGGGAGAGCATGCAAACACACAGAGCAGAAATGCGATTTGTGGGTCAGGCCACAGTGTGCATCCCACCCCTCCCAGATCGTACAGTTCATAAATAAAATGGAAAATTCAGCCTTACGTTAACCCAAAAGCAGCAAAATCACACAAAGTAATCAGACAAAAGGTGAAAAACAAAAATTCCATTACTTCCACCCTTCTGAGATCAATGGAGTAGCATAAAATTAACTTTATAGTATAGCATAGTATAGTATAGCATAGTACAGTACAGTGCAGTATAGTACAGCATAGCATAGTGTAGTATATCATAGCATAGCATAAGTGTTTCTCAACACAAAAATGTGGACTGTCTGGGGGTCCCCAAGGGCTGGGTTGACACTGTAGTGTAGTATAGCACAGTATAGTACAACATAGAACAGCACAGCACAACATAGTATAGTATAGTATAGTACAGTATAGTATAGTAAAGAAAACAGCAGGAATATTACCCTGCTGAAAAAACTACCTTGACCAGCTTAAGCTGGTTGACCAATTTTTAATAGCTGACCTGCTTAAGGTATGTTTTTGCATGATTTGATGGTTTAGCTAACAACGCCAGCTGGTGACCCACCCAGATAAACCATGAAAGAGCTGGGACATGACCATCAAAGACCATCTTAGACCATATTAGACCTGCTAAAACCAGTTAAAACCAACTACCAACATAAGCTGTGGCAAGTGTGGATTTATAGCTTAAACCCACCTCTTTTAAAATATTAAATGTTCAAGTAACTGTTTTGGAGGGCATGGAGTAGTTTTTCATCCTAGATCCAAAGCCGCAAAATCCAGAAATCTATTTCAAGAGGTTGTAAAAAATGGGAAACATTAAACATCCTTTGCAGGCTTCTGCAGCCCGAGATACAGCAAAAGCCATGAGCTTCCACAGGATCTCTTCACTTTAGAAAAGAATGTTGGCAGTTTGCTTTTCTGGCTGGTGTTACTGCAGAATCCCTGACCAGCTAAATATAACAGCCGTTAACTACCATCTCCCTTCCTGACCCTCTTTCTTCTCTACTGCACCACTCCGTCACCTTTCCCTAAACACCTGCCTCTCTGTCTCATAACATACTGCCAAACAGCACCTCACTCAAGCAGGCCAAAGATCACACAAATTATGACCGGAATATCTGGACTTATAACATAATGACTCCAAGTATGTATGACTTTGACTCTGTGCTAGGAGACTTGAGGCTGACATGAGGAATGGGTTTAATTAAGGACGGTGAAAATTAATTTAACTTGAAGAGGGGAGGGATGAAAATGCTGGGTTAAGCTTTGATCCATATTAAAGGCTCAACATGATGGGTAAGGACCTGTGATCTAAAGGCTGCCTGTTAAAGTGCCTGAACGTACTCTGTGTTGTACTCCAAAGAAAGCCTGAACTGCTCCACTAAATTATCCAAGAGAACAAGACTGATAAAATACTGTGGGTTATTTTAGATAAAAATGTTAGATAGCCAACAAAACCACACAGCAATGTATTAGTATTACCAAACTACAGACATATGAGCGAGTACTAACGCTGTCCAGAATGTCATCCTTAATGTCAGTGTTGTAGTACTCAAGTCTGGTCCTAGTCTTAAGACCACTTTTTCACTTCCTCAGTCTTGTCTTGGAATTGAAAGCATTTCTACTTGTCTTGACTCGGTCTCAACCCCCCTCAAAGTCCTGGTCTTGCCTAGTACTCAGGATTGCCAGCTGTCACGCATCTGGCGTGACACTCAGGCTTTCAGACTCTCACGCTCATGCAAGAAATCTTATGGCAAATCTATATTATTCCATTACAAACCTAAAATTAGCTACATCAAAAGCGTTGGGGTAGTTTCCAAACCCTACAGACTATTTACAAGGTAATAAAACTCTTACATACATTTAAATGCATGTGCATGTGTGTGCAGACTTGTCTCAAATTGAAAATCTCACTCCAGTTAGCTGACCAAAGTTGGCAACGTTATGGACTGATGGTCCATCAAGGTCTTGGTCTTGAATTGGACTCGATATAGGTAGTCTTGTCCCCATCAGTACTTAATAGTCTTCCAAAAAATCCACAAACTGGTGATATGAAATGTCCATGAAAACAACTTTTCTTAAAGAACCTAGCTAGAATCAAGCATATCTGTGTATTATTTAACAGATTTTCACTTACAGGTCATAGGAGAAGTGTTTCCTTACATGAAAATCTGCATAAACATGAACGTTTGAATTCCACATATATTCATTAGCTGGCTCCTCTCCATAAACATGCCTTTTGTTTGGCTTCTTACTCTTAAGGAAGCTTTTCATGGGTCATTTAATATCTGATATAATATTCAGCAGCAAACATATTCTTGCAATACCGGCCAACAATCCTGAGAAATCAAAGCCATGTAAGATTTACTCTGATAACATAACATCTCTGCACCTCCTGAGTGTAAACTTGAGTACAAAGCCAAAGACATCGACTGCCAAGTAAACAAAACAGCCATATTTAACAACCTGAAAAAGTCACTTTTCTAATGTCTGTGTAACAAACTGGGGTACTTAAGCTCTTCTATAGGTAGCTAAGAATAATGCCTCACAAATAACGGAATAAGAAAACAACGAACGGCAAACAGGTGCGAGCCATACGGTGTACAGTACCTGGCCATAGCTGCAGGAGGTAATGCAGCACCTCGATGTGCTTCTTGAAGTGCAAGGCACTGGCCAGCTCCTCCGAGTCAATGAAAACCCGTTTGCTATGGCTGGATGCCTCTTGCCTCTGGCTGAGTAGCACCGGGCCGAAGCACACGGCCAGATTCTGGCAGGTCATTTTGTTCACCTCGTGGTGAGAGGCCACCAGCTTCAAATGGTCAAGCAACCTCCGTAAGGTAGCCTGCCATTGACGAGAGACACAATCGAAATCATTTGAAAGTGCTCCACTACCAAAGCAATCACATGTTTACATTTGTAATAGGATTCCTCAAACAATATAATCCAGGGAAATGCCCAAGGCAAATATCTCAACAAACACATAAATGATAACATAAATTTATGTATGAATTACACCGCTCACGCCAACCACTATTGCCTCCTTTGTCATGTCACTTACCTTCTCGACTTCAGGCAGGATTTCCAGGAGACCGACAGTGTGCTCAGAGTCTGAGTGGTCATTCTCGTTCCCATTGGCACCGATCCGCAGGGGCCTCTTAGCCATAGAGTCGAGAACAGCTTCATACAAATTCTTGGATATCAAGGGGTATGGTAACTCCCGCAGGTAATCCTTCAGAACACCTGGAAGATTCAGGATGACAGAGCACACTGACTGGTAGGAAATGTAAAAAAAAAAATCACACCTGCTCCAATACAGTCATCAAGTTTTCTGGCAGGGCTTATTGCACGCTAACATGTCAAAACTATACCTCTCATGGGAAAACGGCAGTGCAGATATGAAGAAAATACTAAAAATAATGCCTAGTATTGCAAATAGTGCAGTAAAAACACAACCTAAATTTTACATCTCACAGACTTTTGCATACTAAGATGCCAGTAATAAATATGTGTAGACACTGATCGCTATTTCCAGAATAACAATAAAGTTTAGATCCCAAAAAACCCAAAAAAACGCCTGAGGCATGTCAGTCATCACAGAAAAACATGGTAAAAGCATTAAGGAGGTACTGGAATGCTGAAATCAAATCCATTATCACAAAACTGTTTAGCTATTCCAGGAAAAAAGATCAGTGAGAATTCACCTCAAATTCAAATCGTTAAAGATAAACTAAAACCAAATTAACTTAGAGGAGGGTATTTAATGCTTAAACATTTCAGCGTGGTTCAGAGATTGAATTCCAAGAACTTCCATCATATTTTCACCTATTAGATTACCACCTGATTTTTTATTCCAACCTGTTTTTGCCTTGGTACCCAAATATGTCATTTTAAGCTATGTCTTTCAAAGAGTAAGTATAAAATAAAATGCATCAGATTCCATGTTAAAGGCAGATGAGTCATTAAATGATATAGTATCTTAATCTTCTTGGCATCTTCTACATTCACCCAATGTGGAAAATAACACCCTTCAATTAATGCCTATAAAACACTTCACATTATACTTTTACTGCATTGCAGTACAAAATTATTATTATTATTATTATTACTTTATTTTCAAGTGGGGCTTTGTTCCAGTTCTGTATTTCCCCAATGTGCCACAATTTCCTCAATCACAATACATCATATTCTTTGGACACTCCGTTCCATTGTGAAAATCACAACAAGCTTAAGAACTGGTTTTAGTTTGTATTTAAGTGGGGATATTAACTATATTGAAAATTCACCTCCCAGTTTGCTATTTTGGTTTTGGCAAAATGTTTTTTTCCAGTGAATGTTGACTGGTTAGCAAAAGAATCTTTAATTCACTAAATAAAATAAAAAAACACTCTTTCAAATACCAAATGCTAAAACACGAATGTCATTGCCGGTTGCTGATGCATGTGGTATGGAGAATCCTATATGAGAGGTATGTTTCATTCCTACCAATTTTGGTGTCTGAACCTCAATTAGTCATGTCTCAAAAGCCATAATCTGATGCTGGCTAAGTTAATATCTAAGTTTTGTCATATATCAGCAGACTGAGGGTGATTTTGAGGTAATTACAAAGGTTTCATTTCAAAACAGGCTTGACAAACCTGTGAAGGAATACAACAATAAAGATACTAAATGAAGATTTCACAATGCATTTCTCCAAATACAGTATGTTACTGCTTTACTAAATCTAATGGTACAGGCAATATTCTTATAAGTAAGAATTCAGACACCATGTGGACACTGTGGCTGAAATGATATATCTTTAGTCAGACCATTAGCATCTCTGCACTAGCCTGTTATTTCCAAAAAACTCTATACATTATAACGTAATGTAAATGATACCAGCACCCTGATTTAAAAAAGAGAGCAGTAACATGTGCATAAATAACACTAGGAATATTTATACATCACAGTCTGTTTCATTATTTTATTGTTTTGCTAAATTAGTATAGCATTTCCATAGATTTTTTTTATTTATTTTTTTTACTTTTTGGCAATTTCAGGAGACTTTGTCGTGGCACAGTTACATCAGTCTCGTTCTACACATAAAATTCTCCAATATAATTACAGTTAAATGTATAATATGTGTTTATAATGTAGCGTGGTGTTATATTTCAAGTCGTCACACATTCGGTTAAATACAGACTTGATTTGCATATGAGGTTTAAAAAGGAAATCTGCAAATTCAACACACCTTGATAAATGAAGCTGACCTTTCAAATTATGCTAGCTAATGATAACTTGCACACATTACACCTGCAACCTTCACTTGGGCAAAAGCTATATGCTATGATACTAGAATAACAAAATATTTATTTAGTTGTTAAAATCCATTAATCACTCCTGATAAGCAGGTAGCTGTATTTTGATTTGTGTTCAGTGGACAGCCTTGGAGACTTCTTGCATGATGGCAAATTTCATGAAAATAAACACTGATTACCCTTTTAAACAATCCTAAGGACGCTAAGAACAATGCCGCTATGTTAAGGTTAGTAATTAGCCCGCAGCAGAGCCAATCAAAGCCCACGTTGGGACCCAAGGCAAGCCTCACCTCCGGCACCCCCCCCCCACCCACCGACCACTATTGCCGATGCCAAAATAAACGTGCAAATGATGGGAGTGAAGAAATAAAGATGCTTCATTGTTTAATGTTATTATTATAAAATAAATATTATAAGTAACATTATTATAGATTAATAAATAAATAATTATAAATAATAACGAATGCGATTAATCGTAATTTTAAAAAATCATTTGATGGCCCTATTAACAATCTTTGGTCATAATATTTTTGAGTCCCTAATAGCTTTTGCTTCTTCATTTTGAAGTGTTGATCTTCTTCATGTTTTAACTATATATTCATATGTATGGACACATCATACTAATGTCATGCCATCCTTGACACCTTTCCCCGCTCCCACATCACATAGATGTTCTGCGCTGGCACCATAGGCTGCATGGGCACTGCTAGGGCTGCCGACTTAGCCAGCCAGTTTCCAACAGCACTGCACTCATCTACTGAAAGTGAAATCGGCTGCCCTTCAGAAGTCACCTAACGAGTTAACCAGCCCTGGGTCACGCCTACTGCTTTTTAGGGCACCTTAGCCTTGACTGTCCGCACAAAAGGATGGACAACATCAAGCAGTAAAAGTGGTGTCCCGGCTGGAGGGAGAAGGTAAGTGCTCTTAAAGTTCTCTTCCATGACAAGGCAACAGAGAAGCACTGACATCCACAGTAAAGAATGCAAAAAGAATGCTACTTCACCCTAACAAGCAACAAAAGCTTGACAGGAATCTGTCCGATGGTCTAGAGGGCAGAAGCATAGTCATTTTTATGTATGTTAAAACCCAAGCCATGTTTCCTTGGTAAACCTCATACTTAAAAGTAGTTGCTTTGTCCCCCAATGGTTCCTGAAAACAAACGTGGGCTTGTTCTGTCCCCCAGAAGTGACCTGGACATGGGCACACCCCCCCCCCCCCCCCCCCACCCGTGCCCTCTGCCACCGCCTCGCGTGCGATTATGACACCCATGCGATTTGTACCTCTTTGTATCCAGGGGCGCCTCCTGGCCACTGGAGTTCAGCTAATCCCCAGTGCATGAGACAAATACCATCTGTGTTTGTTCGGAAACAAAGCGGGCACTTGTTAATGACTTTCCATGTCTTAGCAGGGTGGCGTGTAGTGTGTGGTGATTGCTGAGGCTGGGGGCCCATACCAGCCCCCCCCCCCACCCCCCCTTAACTCCAGCCAAAACATTCACCCACCACATAAAAAAGACGCTCCGGAGCTATTTCCGATCAGCACTATTTCTGTCCCATGTCAAACGCCATGCCAATTTGATTTTTTTTCCTTCAGTTTTACTCTGGTCTCTTTTCAGCTTGGCTTTCTGACAGACCTAGATGACTCCTTTCATTCTGAGCCTGTAGTTTGACTATGGCTTCTTTTTGGGAAAGTAACATCTGCACTTGCAACCAAAAATGCATGCTTAGAGGAACATTTTTCGCAAAAAATTCTCAATTTAAAAGCTGATGCCACAGTTACATGATAGCCTTTACAATGTAATAGGGGATCAGTGACAGTGATCACTGACTGCAAACTCTTCACCTCCATCGATCCTCTCCATCTGTCTACCAGATGACCTACACTGAAGCGGAATTGGCTGAAGGCAGATAAGCCTGCAACACTATTACTGAAAGCTACCTCAACCCTCAATCAAAATGTGGCAAATAACCTGACACTTTCAAACCATTTGTGTAATTTTCTAACCACGAATCAACAGTTTTAATTTGGAAATCGTGGTGACACTTCACCAGAAGCAGTCATTTATAACGCAAGGATACCTTCATAATGCATTATAAGTATATGCTCAGTATAAGAATTAATAAAGCATTATAGCATTTTTTATCAACAGTCATAAGGTATTAGAGTGTTGATTATAACACTTCATAAGCTCCAATGGAGTTCTCATCTATAATGCACTATAGATACCTTCATAATGCATTATAATAGTTGGTAAGAATTAAGGATACTTTGTACATGCTTTGTGTATTATGAAGGTATCTATAGTGTATTACATAGATAAGCACATTCATAATGCATAATAAACATGGTTATAATGTGTTATGCCTTTTTATAAATATTTATAGCCATGTTTATAAAGCTTTATGAATGCTTTATAATGTGTTGCGAATGTGTTCATGGATTAAGACATGGCATTCATAGAAAGTCTTATCAAAATCATTTTAGAAAGAATGCACTTTAAGAGTAAGTTGTACCCCTACAATGTAACTCTATTAATTTAATATTATACCTATTTAGTCATGCTGTTATTTTGAAGGACCAAATCCATTGCCAGTCTGACACAATCTAATCTTTTTACTCAAGCAGATGTTCACTGACGAAATTAGGGTTATAACCTTTAAAAAAAAAAAACATCATGTGTTCCTAGAGACCTTTCAATCGTAAATCCTGTTCCTGAATTGCTAGACCACATATTGCTCCATGAGACAACTTAAAACAGATGAACACACATTTAACATGTTTTACAAGCTCTGGGCTAGACTCTGATTCCAGTTAACTGCCTTCACCATTTGCTGTTTTCGATTAGCCGTGTTACACTGCTTTATTTCTAGGGATTATTAGCTCAGGAAACCTCACCCCCCCTCAAACCACCCCCCACCCCCTTCCCTGTTTCCCATTCATCTCCAACAGCCCCTCACATCACAGAGTAAATTTAGAGAGCTCACAAAAATCAACAATCTATGTTGGTGCCGGATTTTTTTTTCTGGACTGCTCGACTGTTAGCTGTGTTTTTAACTCTGACATACAGATTTTTATGGACCGAAGCAGAAATGATACAATTTCAGGTGAAGTCACCCTGTTCCCGGATAAAGCATTCCTCTCACTCTCCTGTATCTTTTGTAGACTGTGTGAAATGCCTCAACATCTGAGGATTGTAAACAATTCTGATTTTATATTTTGTTTTTGTTAAAACTTCACAAATAATTATCGTCATGTCAGAAAAGAAAAAAGAAATGCCAGATAGTTTGCACAGACAAGCACAAGTGATCTTAAAGGTAATGTCTGTATAAAACATGTGGTTCATTATTGCTGGGGCCAGTTTGGTGTGGTTACCAGATTAAAAAAGAGCTACAAATGGACTGTTAAATAGTTTCAGGAGGCCTTGGATGGTCAGAAGAAAGATTGCGTGTCTGAACCCGGAGATAAAAAAGATTTGATAAAGGCAGTACAAGTAGGGTTCACACCAGGACACTTATAACAAGCCCCAGCAAGGCCTAACATGTAAAACGCTCACTGGAATGTTTTGTACATAGATAAGACATGTGTTCAGACTAGTACACAACTGTAACTGGTAAAAACATTCAACACTGCTAGTCATTCTATACTATTCAATTTGAAAAACTCATCACGTTGCTAAAACAAACTACAACAACCACAGGGAACAATTAAAACGGACAATTAAAATTGTAAGGTAGGGTGCAAACGCAAATATTTGTATTTTTCCAACTACTTGGAAAATTCCACATATAAACTCTAATTTTAAATGAATTCCCAGAGGTGTCTCATATACAAGAAAGATGTTCAAACCTGGGGGATCAGATGGCAAATCAAGTCTACTTCCTTCTATTATAATCGCAGATTTGATTTTTTAAAAATTACAAAGAATTTTATAACTGAATTGTGTAACAATGTACAATTTGTCGATACCTGTGTATGCTGAAATGTATCATGTAAATCATTTATTAATGTATTAATGATGTAAATCATTTATTAATTTATTCATTTCAATTCTGTAGATGAAAACATAACTAGTAATACAGCATATTGTATTTTTATACATGCAAATAAATAAATAAATAAATAACGAAAGTTGTTTTTTGATTTTATTTCCGTAAAACGAATTAAGAATAATCCAGTACAGTCATATGCTATCTGTACCCTAATGGTGTTTTGTATACCAAAAATTAATCTGCCTTCAAAATGACAGGAGGCAAGCCGCAGCTACCTGTGATGACATTGACATCAGGGTACAGGTTCTCGGAAAGTTCCACAAGCCGGCTGTCCCTCTCAAAGGCCTCTCGCAGCTCCTTCTTCACCGCTGCCGAACCACAGAGGCGATAGAGACCCACCACCTGTCAAAACACACAGCCGGGGTTCAGGCCCAGGTGGAGAAAGCAGTGCTGAACACCACACGATATCGAGCAAAGCTACTCATTGAGAAACGCAGCGCCGGCTCGCCATCGTTAATAACCATAGACGTCGCTTTAGGGCACGTTCCTTTGTCTGTGGGCCAGTACAGTATTTCAGAGATGAACTCCCTGCGATGCTCATACATGTCTATGGCAAAGATAAATGGATTCTCTTTCTCCACAGATTTATTTTCTTAGGACACAATCTGAACAACTTCCACAATTTGACACATTGTTAACAGGAAATAATATCCCTACTTTTTGCCAATTTTCCCCCATTCATTTCTGGCTGAGACATAATGAAACCAACATTTCCTTCTGTCGTTTAGGACTTTCTGATCTACCGGTGATATATATTTCAGCATAAGGAAACAATTGCTTATTAGCACTTAAATTAAAGAAAACAGGAAGTTCTGCAGTGTTGACAGGACGGTTTGGCTGCTTCATAGCAGTGTTTTATAATCCAGTTCTCAGGAACACCCAGACGGTTCATGTTTTTACTCTCTCCCAATTTCCTGGGAGTTGGGAGGGAGCAAAAACGTGGACTGTCTGGGGGGGGGGGTCCCCGAGGACTGGTTTGAGAGACACCGCTTTATAGCATAATTACAGGAGCTAAGACCCAAGCTGAAAAGGACTGAGCAGCAAGACCTCCAAAGCCCACCATCTGAACGTCTCGCACTGATGCAGAAAGCAGCACTATGATCAGCTACCAAGGTTTTGGAAGTAACACTGAGGTGAAAGTGATTAATTGTCATCGTTGACACACCACAGCACACAACAATGAAAAGTATCCTCTGCATTCAACCCATACGTGACATAGTAGAGGACAGCTACTATTTAGAGGTCAGGGGTGGTATCTTGCAGGTTGGGGATTCAAACCTGCTACCTTCCAACCCCAACCACATTTCCCTAATCATTAGGCCACCACTGCCCACCAGCAGTAATGCTAAGCAAAACCAAATATATTTCTTAAAACAGCATTCGGCATTCTGTAACTGCACACAGGAGTGATTCACAGGACGCAACACATGCCATGAATCAGAGGCATTTTAAAACATCCGCTACGACCCTAAAGGTTTTGATAAGGAGATCAGGCGCTGTGTATTTAGGCTCATTTTTGTGCCGCCCCACAATCCCGCACCACTGGGGCAGCATGACTTTCAGTTCGTTTTCTTGCCCAGCTTAAGCGTCTAAGCTGGTGTTCAGGGCACAAACCATGTTTAAACGCATACCACAGATAGGTCCCGAGAAGCTCGCAGACAGAGGCCCAGTCTGTTGACTGAGCGAACATCAAAAGCCATAACAGCTGCAGGCCGTCCCTGTGTTTTCACAGCAATCAGGCACACTTCACTTCAGACTTTTCACCACTGTGGGACGCGCACCTCGTTTTTAAGAGACTGAAATTAACTCCTGACCCTGATTATATTTTACAACATATCTTGTTATTTTGTTGTTTTTTTCCCCCCCGAGGAGTTTGTCTGTGCCGGGTGCCTTTGTGACAAGCTCTGTAAATTCCTTCTAATCTTCCGCTTATCTCTTTCTAGCACAGACTCAAATGCGGGCCAGAGCAAAAGGCTCCTTCTCCCTTTATACCAGTAAAAAGTTTCTGCACACCCCAGGTTTTTACCACTTTTCCATTTCTTTCAGAAACTGCAGATTTTTTTATTTGTGTTAAGCATTGGAAAGTTGAGTTAACAACTATGAATGAAAATATGTGAAATAAAACAAGTTTTCTTTATAACATGGAAAAAGTATGTACCAGTGCATGTCTGAAATCTTACTAACTGGTTGTGGGGTGATGGCATAGTCAAATTCTAGGCTGTCCTTTAACTTTAAATGCACTATGTAACTGGTTCATCCCATGAAACAGAGAAATATTTAATGTCTCTTGTAGAAAGAATGCCTTGAATTTTTTCTGCTGTTATAACGGCCAGAGGAGGCTACTTTGATGAATCAATCACATCCTGCATGGTTCCTTGCTAAACCCAGCAGTCTCGAATGCCAGGAAAGGCTGCCCCGCTAATTAATGCCAAGCACCGGCGGGAGGGACTCCCCACTTTGGCGGTGCTGAAAGCTTAACGCAGCCCCGGAAGAATCAGGGAAAGCCCAAAACAGAGCGAGTGAGGAATAGCATGTGAACAGCGGCCAGACACATTTACTGCTGCAGCCTTGACTTTAATTAGTGAGAAACAAAAGCACAGTCTTACTCTGACTGCAGTAACTTCCAAAAGGAGAAGGGAATGTTAACTGGTGTCAATGTACCCATTCCTCGCACGCCTGCCCTGAACAAGGGGCCAAAATACTTTACCACTCCGCACAAAGCAGCAGAATCTCAAACAGAGACTACTTAGTGCACAATGACTGTCACAGGGCAGAAAGATCAGAAAACTACATTACACATCTTACTGAAAGATCAGAAGACAGTATCACACATCTTACTGAAATTCTCATTTTATATGATTTATGATTTATACGATTGGGGGCAGTGTGTGGCGCAGCCTGTTACGTCGCTGTGCCTGTTATCGGAAAGTTCATGTCCCATGATCATCACAGCAGTTTCACCTTTGGGTCCTTGAGCAAGGCCCTTAACCCCCATAAGCTCCAAGGATTGTATAACCCTGCTTTCTGAAAAACCTACGTCACTTTGGAAGAAAAGGGTATGCTAAATTTAGAAAAAAATTGAGTACATTTCAAAACAATTAATTATACTACAAAACTGGTTCATCATGAATCTCAGTCGTGAATTTGTCAGTTTGTCACCTAAAATAAAGATGTTCCCCGAGCTACAGTGGAATTCCGAGAAACTTATCGTAAGGTGAAAATATCGTTAAGTCGAAAATGCATTTTAATACAGTACACCTAACCGAACAAACATCATAGCCTAGCCTAGCCTACCTTAAACATGCTTAGAACACTGACATGAGCCTACAGCTGGGCACAATCATTAACACAAAGCCTATCTTTTAATAAATTGTTGAATATTTAGTGAATGATCATACCCATCGCAAAAGTCAAAATATCGTAACGTATCGTATTTAGTTTCACTGCATGCATGCAGACATGCAACACTCAAAAGCAAAACAAGCATCAGTGTCCGCAATCCAACAGACCAAGGCTGCAAAATTCTTAAAGCTAAAAATATATATTGATTTACCTGACACCCCCTCTTCTCAATCTCTGTGATGCACTTGTCAATTAGCACGGGCAACATGAGTCCGACATTCTCCCGCTCCACCACCTTCCACACCTCCACCCCGAACACCTGAGACTCGTGCTCGCCGTCGTCAGGCCCATCCAGCGAGTTCTTCCACTGCTCCATTAGGTTGAGCTTCACGTAGATGATGCCCCGCGGCTCCAGCTTGACGGCCAACTGGTGGGCCTTGCTGACCCTGAAGAGCGTGGGCAGCACCACGGTGCCGTGGCAACAGGCACGGTTCCTGCGTGGTGTGGGCTCCCAGCTGAACACCACCAACTTGAGGTGCTGAGCGTTCTCCAGCTCAATGTTGAAGGTGTGGTCCATGTCCAGGAAGGTGGTCCTGCAGGTAAGCAGGGCTGTGCGGGCTTTGTTGACACAATCCACTTGGATGGCACAGAAGACTTCTCGAGAATCCATGCGTGGTGGCTTCAGGTCCTCGGCCCCATAGAAGTGCAGGTTCATAAGGCCTGAGATGTACTGCGAGCACTTCGGCTGGTCCACAAAGCTATAGTGACGGAAAGCGTCAATGTCCAGCTCGGAGCCATGCGGCTTCGAGATGATGCTCGCTGGGGACTCCTTGCTCTTCCCTCCTTTACCTTCCCAACCATGTTTCCCTGACTTGGCTACCAGCTCCGGGGAGTCACCATCACTGAGGTACCCTCCTTTACTGGCAGACTTTGAGCCTTGACTACTCTTCTTTTTGTAATTGTTCTGTGTGGAAACACTGCTGTCTAAGTGGTAGCGGGAAATGACGTTTCTGCTAGCTGCTGTCTGGCCGCCCCTGGATGGGCGGCATGGGGGAGACTGGCTAGGGTCCACGACATGGTTCAGTTTGGGTCCTAAGGGTCGTGGCTCTGCCTGGTTGACCGTGGAGGCTCCTTTCACACTCAGCTTCCTGCTCAGTTCTGGAAGCTTCCGCATCCTTATGGAGAGCTTCCTCACTGTGCGTGGAGACTTGATCTTTTCTGGGAAAGACCAGTTGATTGAACCGCCCTTCTTTGTGGGGTTGGGGCTTGACGGAGGCGAAAAACCAGAACCGGGCCCTTCAATGGTATCTAGATGGAACAAAAAGACATAAAATACAAATGTTTGTGTAAACACACGTTAAGGTTATTCTGCACAATAGTAAATATTAACCTGCATTTTGATCAATGATCAATTTGTATTTAATTATTAAATGCTAGCTAAAAATCCATACGATAAAAATAGAAAAGTGTGATATATGATCTGAAATGGCTCAGCCAAGGACACCTCAGGTAAGTCATTAGCTATAAATATATACATATAAAATATAAAAAGATTTCCTACTCTAAGACTCAGTCACTGCCCTCAAAATAACCTCCGTTGAATCCATATTCTGTTAGAACAAGTGAACAAGTAAATTATTCACTTCCCACAAACCTCCAGGCTAGACAGCTTTTGTTCTAAGTACGTCAGGCTGAAACCACCTACACTGACTTGCTTTCACACTTCGACATGGCATGAGACCAGTTTGATGATGAGTGTATTTTTTTCAATGAGAATGAGAAATTCCTACTACTATCTCGGTCTGTGAAAACAAACACAATGCAGACAGTCTTTTACAGTGTTAACGGGATTTCCGCCAGCATTAGTTTCTTACTTATCTTACAGACAGAATCAGATAAGTTGATTCAGACCCAAACCCAGAAGGAAAAATTGTTCAATAGACTCTCCCATTATGTTACATACATATGGTCACTGTCTGATGAAAACAACAAATGTCCACTTTAAGACGATTGTGACTTTTTAGAATTGATGGAATATCTTCTCTGGAGAATGTAGTCTACTGATAGCATGTGACATCTAATTGGACAATGAAAAGATGTTTTATTAAGGCATCTATTTAACTAGTATTTATGTTTGTATTAGTTAACATTTGTATTCATAATGGTCATTCGTATTGATTACTTTATATTGCTACTTTTAACAACTTAGCGTTGACAGCTAAATAGCTAGCCAACTAACATCATCGTTAATTGTGAATATAAAGTGAGATTAGTTTGTATCTTGTTGACACTGGCTTATTTGCCTTGCTGACAACAATCCAAGTAAGTCCATATAAAAAAGTAAATCATTCACTGACAGCTGTGCAAAGATTTTTGGTGCTAAAGGTATGTCATGAACTGGTGGATTTTTGTAGAAATGTGTTTTTCATCTGTCAGCGACAGTATGGAATATTTTAATTATGACATGGTCTTGCGTGAAGGTTAGGCCGATTCGAGTGGCCTTCAAACTGTCTGACCATGGTGTGTCTCGTCACTAAATGCCAAAGAGTTTCCAAACGTTCATTCAAATAGCAACTTGAGTATAATTCCACTTCAGTTTTTGTTTGGAGATGCAGTTTCTCTGTACTTCTAAAACAAAGAGTGATTCTGTTGCTTCTTTGCAGCTCTGCGCAGAGCCACGGACTGGCAGAGGGGCCAGCTCTATTTTCAGAGTGCCTGCTGAGCTATTCTGGCAGGAGGGCCGGCTTGCGGGTCTGCACAGACCAGGGACAAAGGGACCCCTTGTCCTGCAAAGCAAAGCCCCGTCCAAGGAAGGGGGTGTCCTGCAGAATTCCCTAATAACCACGGCCATGTTTAGACCCCTTCTTTCATGAATATTTCCTTTTCACTATTCCTGCCAGCAATTTGCACAGATTATAAAAGAGGAAGCTGGTGGAGATATGCTCCCCAGATCCCAGCAGTGGGCTATTTAAGCGAGTAACAGTGAGCAAGCACAGCGGAAAATTCCAGATAACATCTGTGGGTCGGAACTTCGGGAACCCATGATTTTAAGGTCCTGGCTATCTAGCGTAGTGGTTCTGGTACTGGCAGACTAAAGTGTAGTTTTTTTTTCTTTTTCACTTCTCTTCAGGTTGACTATAACTTTAGTTCTAAGATAGTTTAGACATATTAAAATGGTTCCAGTAACATGACAATTTCTTTAAGTGAGTGCTTAACTGCTTGGCTAATTTGAAAACTTATACAGAGCAGTCCAGGACCAAAGTTAAAGCCCAGCTAACAGGGAACGTTGCCAAAATTTTAGCTATCGTTATGTCAAGGTCTTCTCAAAGTTGGCAGAGAACGTTCTTACTGTTACGTGAAGGGAACGTTATTTCCACAGTTTACATTTTAACAAAGGTTCTGCCAAGGTAAGCATGATACAATTATTACTTTAACATGCTTTTAATGGAATTAATGTTGAAAAAATATATTATATTACTTAATAAATAGCGATATATGCGCAAATTACAAATGCAAAATGCATCCTCAAACCCATAAACTTTGAAGTATAAAGCAATAACGTAACCCACTGCGCTATCATGCCCTTCATTTGCATTTATTTTATTAGTCTAAGTAGTAGTTGTGGTACTGGGTTGAGTTTTGGGAACTTCAGGAAAACTGGGCCCAGTTTCTCGAAGCTTACTTAACGCTTAACACTTCTCAGCGTATTAAGAAGGCTTCGAGACACCAGGGCACTCTGAACATTTCCATACCTTAGTTGCAACCTTCTGTAAACGTTGCTAGAACAAAAAGTTGTTACTAATAGATTACAGTATGCCCAGTGTACTGATGTTTTGGTTACTGCTGAGTTTTCACAGCCTTCGTCTGATTGACTTTCCATATATTTTGAGTTCCGAATCTCTCTTTAGTTTTCCAAACACCGGTTCAGGAAACTATGACTGGACAGGCCATGTACTCAGTAGCGCAAATGGAAACAGGAAATCAGTTTGAAACACAACTCCCTCACCCGACGATCCTTTGCAAAAGCTTGAAACACAACCCAAGGTATGTCAGGACTGCTAGGCTAGAGGCTAGGAGCTGTGTTTTCCTCAATGAAACCCTGACCCAACCCCCCCCCCAGGCACCCTGCTTCTGATAACCCACACAAAACATTAGCCATTAAGCCCCTGATAGTATTTACAAGGACTAGAATGAACAAGGTTTGAGTAAAGCCAAGGTTTCTGACAGGCATGCCAGTCAAAGTATGGCCTTGTCCTTCTACTCGAAATGCAGTTTTGTGGTAAAAAAAAAAAGTACATGGTGCCTCATATATAAAACATAATAAAAATAATATAATATAATAGCATTGAAAAATAAACAGAAGCCACATTAACACCTGTGCATCAGCTCTCTTTCCTGCAAAGGAAAAGATGTTTGGCGTGTATGCTTAGGAATGCTAATTAAAGGTCTTTAAATGTAGTAAAAAATACAAATTTTGCAATGACTTGTACGTTGCTCAGGTATAAGTCCTACAGGTTTACAAAACCTCATAACATTCCAAATACACAACGTGAACAGCAGTCACTCTGCCTGTGCATTCGTCACCTTCATTTAGCCTGACGGCTCAAATCGCATCCCAAAGGATTATGGATGTTTTAATGGTTTCAGGGAGTCGGTAACGTGTCAGTCAAAGCCCATCAACGTGACAGCAAAGCAAATTACATAAAATGCGGATTACTCTAAGAACTTTTACCTGGCCCAAACTCCTTCATGTTACACAGTAAAAGGGCTTTCCTAAAATATTATTACTGATTGTACTGTTCAGGCTTTAAGAGTAACCACAATGCTGTCACTGCCAAGGATTTACAAAATGAATTTGGAAATCAAAGCAACAAATCAGCATCAGTAGTTTAAGATTCATAAAGGATATGCATCTAATTATATATGACCCACAATAGAATGTTTAAGTAGGAAAGCTTAAAATAAAATAAATAAATAAATAAATAAATAAATAAATAAACACTTATGTTTTGGGTTAATGCAAATTTTTTATATGTAACAAATTGCTTGGCCTTATTGCCTTAAGCTACAGAGTGATAAAATTCAGAGCCAAAAATTTCCTTGTGATTATATTAAACATATCTGACAAATATAAATATTTCCCTGAAAACAAAAAATCTTGAGCATACCTGAAGGAATCCATAAATAATTAAACATTAATGATGAAGTAGCCTAAACTAGAATACCATAATCTACACATTATGAAAACAGATTTACTGTTTCGAGTCAATGGAAAGCATGCATCGGATCACAAGAGGACTGAATTTTGCTTCCCAACACTGTAATGTTTAATGAGGAAGCTTGACTTTAGGTCAGTGACGGTTATGGGGATTGAGTGGTTTTTGTAAATTTGCTCTTTTAAAAAAAAAGAAAAATGAGTTTCCTTGTAACAAACATAGACAGGAGTTCATCTCTTCATGCAATATAATGTGACATTCTCCAAATTTCCAAACCATAGCTAAAGTCAAACATAGATAAATATAGTAATTGTTTCGGTATTAACATAACCGCTTTTATGTCAAGCTAGCGAGAAATGACATACTATCCAACTGATTTATGAGATGTATTTTAAACTAATTTAAACTTGTCATATTAATACAAATTTATATTATTTATAATGTATGGTTTATTTGGTGTTTGGTATAAAATGGCATGAATGACTATTGCAAATTGACTCCTCCTATTACTGGCAATAGTAAGAATGCAGAGTCATACCGTACCTAGGGCTGCTGCCCTGGGCGTGGGTCTCCCTTCTGACGCCTTGCACACAAACATCTGCCTGTGCAGCTGTGCTGGTTCGCTGGAATGTACGGCATTTGCGTGACCTGCCTCATTCCCCAGGCCACCCTGACACTCGTCTGTGCCTTCCGGACTGGTCGGAGACGGCCCTCGAATCCTCCCCGCATCCCCTCCGCTCGGTGTGCCCCGGGGGCCCTGTGGTTCTGACCCGGGGGGTGCCTGCGGCCGTACCGCCGGGTCACGGGGCAGGTCCAGCTCCTCATCCTCGGGAATGGGGTTATACCAGATCTCTCCTTCGTCGTCTGCGTCGTTCTCCTCAGCTGGGTCTGCAGACCCGGGCTGGGGGGTGCTCTCGTCTTGGCTCACCGCGGTGTGAGCTGGCTGCGGACATGGCTGTTTGCAGAGGCCCAATGATGGTGCTGTGAGATTCGTCCAGTGGGCCTCGGATAAAGTGCTAGCAGATTTAGCCCCCCGGGCTTCATCCTCCTCCAGCAGCATGCTACCCTCAGCAGAGAGACTCTTCACTGAACTCTGCTGCAGCCAGTTACGTTTCTTGGACACAGTGATGGTGTTTAGCGGAGGCTCATTCGCCCTGCCGGTTCTCACCTCCACGGTGGCTGTGATGGAGTTGTGGACGTTTTCAATGAGAGCTGAAAGAGAAACCATTCAAGTCTTCAAACAAGAAAGGGACTATTCTCAATGATCAATTTCATGGGCCTAGGATCTAAAGCCCCACCTTGAGCATTAATTATAAGGCAAGAAGCATTAAGAAACAGCCAGGCAAATGCATTTCAGTCAAATAACCCAATTAAAAAACAAAGCTGATAAAAATCAAGTACTATTCAATTTAATTTTTGTATAAAGCATTTTCATAACATTGTCTCAAAGTGCTTTACAATATACCTGCCCAAAGACCCCAGAGAGTAAAACCAGAGGCAACAACAGTGGCAAGGAAAAACTCCCTCATAGGAAGAAACCTTGGGAGGAACCAGACTCAAAGAGAGACCCCATTCTCCCTGGGTCTGTGATACATCTTAATTAACGTAAGCTTATATTTACAAATTTTTATATTATTTGCCTGGAAATGTACTTTATGCTTTTTACCTCATGCACTGCATTTGTATCATGAAACATATAATTCATTAATCAATAAAGATAGCTAACATAACAATTTACCGATAAAACAAACATAATAGCAGTCAGACCCTCTTGAGCTAACCAACTCATGACTTGTACTGTTCTGTTTTTCATACACTAAATATGTTCTTTTGGTCTTAAACAATAGATGTTAAAAAATAACTACAGAATGAATAATTTTGTGAACAAAAACTGTTTGAGTATTGTATTCGCATATATAATACGAATACAATACATAGAATATAATACATAGAGATTTTTCCATATTCTTTGAGGTTACACATTTTGAGCATAGCTTCTGTTAGAGTTACTAACTGGCTTTTGTTTCAAAGCATTTTTAAACCATAATAAGAAGCTTAATTTTGACAGACAAATAATCACAGTGAACTCAGGATAGGGCACAACTATATGTCTTGCATGATGGCCTGGAAAAATATCGTACAAGGACCTGTTTTTGTTTTGTTTCTTTTCATCTTAACCAAACAAAAACTTCCAATTACAGGTTGCAGGCCTCTGGTGCATCTTGCCAGCGCAATTTTGCGGGGATGGCTTCCTGGCTGAGGAAATGTGTGAACTCGAAAACAACTGGGGTCGAGCACTGGAAGCAGTGTCAACTCCGAAGTCAACATTCGTAATAAAAGCTAAAAGGAAGGTGCCAGAAGGACAGGTTTAAAGACAATGAATACAGAAAGGCCAAATTACACCGTTTCACACATGCTACATGTGGGCCTAATTGGATACCTAAATATTCCCATTTAAATATCAAGTTAATGTCTCTGCAAGACAGGAAAGCAGTCTACTACAGACATCAATATGCCTAAACCATTTTTTTAAACTATACTTATGAAGCCACCTAATCCTTAAAATGGATGATTTGTTTATGGACATGAAACTGAAATGCTAAGTCAACCTAAAACACATTTAAGTTAACCGATATTTAGCATAACCAGGTTCCAAAAGTATAACGTGTTAACATCATCATGTCTACAAGGCAAGATGTTTGAAATGTGTAGGAGATTCAGACAACTGTTTTAGAAAAAAAATTATATAAGCAAGAAAAGGCAAATGCCCGACAGGCTGAGACGGGCATGAGCAGAGCCTCGTTGGGTATATGTCCGCTTCAAGACCACTTCCTCCTTGAGTTAATGATTAGTTCCTTTTCCTAACGGAAGCAAATTTTACAGATCATGCATGAATAACAGACTAAAACAGATATTTGCATAAGTGTTACCTGTCTGTGCCATAAAAGCCTAACATTCTGTACAAAATTAAATATTTTTCCCCCAATACAGTAAAGAAACAAGATGTAACTCTGTGCAAAGCACTCAGATTCAGAGTTCATTTAATGCACAACTGAGGAAAAAACATCACATAACCTACTATCAGGGTTTTTTTAAGTGGTTTTAGAGATGTGTAAATATTGTGACGAGTGTGTGTGTGTGTACAGATGTAGAGTAAGTCTCTTATTATTTTAAATTTGTCCACTCGGAGACAGGTTTCAAAATGTCTGGCTGATATAGTTATTTCACAGGAAAAATATTTACTCCATGAACAGCTGTGTTTCCTGATTAAACGATACTACAGAACACAAGTCACTCTACAGCACTGCCAGGGGCCATGTTACCTGCTCTGTCCAAACATCTCACACCTACCCATAATTAGGGCTCAGGGTGTCATTTCCAAAATTCAAAACACGACAGATTTTCATCGTTAAGTGTTTAAAATGGCTCATTTGGCATTGGCTGCGCTGATCTGCCATCAGAATCATTGAAGAGGAAGTGAAGACCTCTAAACTAAGGTTTTCACAACATACCAGGAGCATGTTCTCACCTGCAAAACATTCCAGTAAAGATTTACTACCATCCACTCCTCCTTTTCACATTCAGAGGAAGATAAACAAATGCGTGACTACGAGTAAGTGACCACGTTTACATATCATACCGTGCCAAAACTTTTGCTCTATTTCAGTTCACAGTTACAGTTAAATGTATCCACTAATATAAAGTCAAACTTAAAGAAATTAATTACTGTACATGCTGAAAGTAAAAATAAAAACATATTATAGATATATGCCATTAAAGGCAAATAAGGTGGTTTTTTAAAACACGAGTCTCGGGGCAAACTAAAAAAAAAAAATAAAACAGTGAAAGGAGAACTTCCAGAAACTGAATAAAAACATGTCTAAACACAAATATTCCTTGACCCACCCATCCATCTTACATCCTCTCATCCTGAGCAGGGTGTCAGAAACACAAAAATTCATTCTTCACAATAAGTCATTAAAATGATAGAAGCTAATTAAAATGGCTTATACAGTCATTGCTCATTCTCAGTGATAATCTGTTAAAATTGCAGCCATAGCTATAAATAGTTTTCCTGTGGTTAGATGCTTGGCAAAGGGAAATATTTTTCTCCAAGGATTGCTTAACCTGAACACAGTTCAAAGTTAACAATGCTTGATATGAATAAAAGATTTCGATTGCTTTGGCTCTGTTCTGAATTCATACACATTAAAACACCATGTATATGATGAAATATTTTCCAGGGGAAAAAAAGGGTCTTTTGCTTTCTTGAAACCCTGAAGCTGCCAAGGAGTCATTTTCAAACGGTAATATCAGATGAAATGCTTCGGAATTTAGGCTTCTATACAATCTGGCTCTAATAAACCAGGAAATACAGACATCAGACAACAAATTCTCAAGATGGTATAATGGCATGCTATTACATGCTAATATTACTGTTGCTGTGTTTTTTTCAATAAAGACTTGCAATGGTGATATGTAAGTGTTCAAGCTAAATATTAATATGTGTAACATTTATAAGAACATAGTTCTGTTTTGTGCATGAACACTTACAGACAGTAACCAGCCTTAACTTTAAAAATACCTATTCACCAACTCTGCAAAAAAAAAAAAACAGGATTGACTTCATTTTGTAGCATTGCAATGCATAGTTGGACACTGAGTGCAGTCCCTCTCGAGTCTTTACTGTAGACATGCTGTACTTTTCCTGTACTTTCCCGCACTTACCAAGCAAAGCATTCTGTGGGTGTTAATAAACGGCCTACTTATGAAGATGAGAAGACTGCCTGTCATCATACTGAACTTTGGAAAAAAAAAATGGCTTTCATACCCACGCCTGAGATTATAATGCAACAGATGTCCCAGGTAATGCAGCATTCGAAAGAATGTTCGGTCTGACTGATGCAGCATGTCACTGCGATAATTCAATACAGTAACGCTTCCTGAAGTAGAACGTGAAGAAAAACGTAACAGAAAAAGGTGACGTCTGTTGCAAACTTGCTTGTAATGTTTGGATTCTTAAAACAGTTTTGTCATAAGTAAGGTTGGTGAAAATCAAACTATATCTCGTGTATGTGTCATTGAAATTAACATACCTGCGAAGGTATGTGTTTGGTTTTAGTACATACTGGGAGTGTTGTGTGGCTCAGCGAGTTACCATGCCGTGCTTATGACCAGAAGGTCGCTGGTTAAAATCTCAGTGGCAGCAGTCTGATCTTACGGCTGAGTGCCTGAAAAGGGCCCTCACCCCCCCCCCCCAAAATATGCCAGGAACCATATGACTGCGTTCTCAAAATAATTGTCACTTTGGATAAAAGTGACTGCTAAATAAATAAATATCATTCAAAAAAATCGCCCACTCTTAACAAGGAGCAGCATTCGATTTTTTTTTTTTTTTTACAAAACAGTCTTTTTAATCAAAAAGCATAGCATCTATGCTATTTAAGTATTACTGCATTCGTCTTCTACAATATGGAGGGAAAAAACAAAAATTTCCATCAAAGCAAGTTCACACATAGACTTAATTAAAGTTGTGTGAGACACCTGGAAATTAAGTTTCCTTTCATTCTGTTCTTTGCATTGATGCTGAAGGGTTGTATTTTTTTTTTATACGTTTTATGTTCAATTTATGTAAAAATTCAACAGCTGCTGGAAAACAAACTCTTGAGATTAGATACTGTATGCATGTTTCTTGTGTTGCTTTGCTGTTTCCCACATACAAACCAGGCAATGTGACTCGTCATCTTAACATATTAACTCAGCGTTAGGGGCAACTTAATGATTATCTGAGCAGTGGCAGAACCAGTGGGGAGGGCAGGGTGGCACTAGCCCCCACTGAAATCTGATCACCACCCCCACCCCACCCTAAGTGCCCTCCATCCCCCTCAATTTTCATTGGTTCTGAGTGATGTCAGTCATCGAACAACCTTACTTAACTCAAACGGGGAAACTAAGGGTTAAATCACACTGTGACAGAAATAAATCCACCCAACGCATACTTCTGATTTCTTAGCACAGGGACCCAAAAAGGAAGAATGACAAATAATTTCAGAAGTATGTTTTTCCAGTAAAATAGCACACAACCACAGAAATGTGCTTATGTATAAAATATCATATTAAAAAATTTCCACTTTCTTCTTTCTAGCCCAACAGCATTTTTTGGGTACCCAGGTTTAACATGTAAATCACAAGAAGTTGATAACCAACAACACGGTTAAGTCATTTACAAGCAAGTCAGAAGATCTTGTTGACAGGAATGCATTGACCTCTTAGAGTAAAGTCCAACCATAAGAGATGTCAGCTGCATTTCTCTATCCTTTGTTTCATCCAGTGGATAATAAGTAGAAAATAGCTGGAGTGAAGCACTGAAGTAACAAATCAGCCTAAAATCTTCCCAGGCAATTTTAACGCTTCAAATAACTAGCTTTACGTAACATGCTGCCAGTATTCTATTCCAATTACAAATGTTTTTATACGCCTCAAAAATCTGTTCAGAATCCTAAGTCGACATGCTCATCAAATTAAAGTATTTCATACAAAACTATATGAATCGAATGATAAACTAAACAAAAAACAAAGCAGGACAAACTAAATATCAAACTAACAATCTGATTCATAAATAAATTTTATTCAGTCCTGAAGCTGATAACTCAAGCTAGAAGCTGATCTTGGATCAGACACTATCATCATTCACATCAATGGACATTAGACACCTAGGAAGACATAAAGACATACAGCAAAACAGTCATGCAAGACGAACACAACAAAACAAAACAAAAAAAAAACAATACACAACAAATCTAGTGCATCTTCAGCAGTCAGCTGAAGGCTGAACTGGCATAAGCAGACACTTGGAACCTGAAAAAGTGGTGAACACAAATCTCAGTTTGAACAGCAAAGCAGAACTCCTAGACATTATTAATCATATTAACCAATTTTCTGTCACAGTGCATCTGCTGTACACATCGTACTGTAATGTAAAATACCAAAAACAAAACTGCCTTAGAATGACACATTTTTATGTTTTATTTTCCTTTTAAATCAGCTCTGGCTCTATGTATGTATATGCTGAGATTATTATGAGATTTTCAATATTCAAGTATCTTATTATTAAGATGTACACCTATTACTAATTCTTAGGTTTAGTACACTCGATAGCTTTTATATTTTTAAATGATATGTTTCATGATACAAATACAATTGAGTCCAACATTTGGAATCTGTACAAATACATAATAATGATTAAAACCCATACCACACCAGACTTTTGGCAAATGAGTGCGTTAGTATCTATCTATCTAGAGGGCAACTGTCACCAGACACCCAAAGAATGTTAAATGGCTCTACATTAGTGAGAAGGAGAAGGATCCCACCACCGGTTATGAGGACAGCAAAGAGCTGAGATCAGTCCTTCGCTTTGCTTTCAATCCAGGAGAGACAACAGATGGAACTTTAATGAGGGATGTCAACATTCATGGGTCTAGGAGAAGGTGGATCCTTGACCACGCTGGGCAACATGCCTACCTGACTGTTGTGGTACTCTTTTTCTGCCTTGCATGCTGGTCGTCTGGGTGCTGGATTTTGTCCTGTTTGAAAACCCATGGCCAGACTGTGGACTAGAGGCGCCATGGACACAGGGGGACGAACCCGTGAGGCGCTGCCTCATCTCCGAGGACAGCATGCGTCCTTTGTGCATCCATTCCTGCATCTTGTTGACTGTCACCCCGTGGGGCTTAGGGGACACCCCCTGGGCCCTGTTTAAATCACGTCTGCAGCCCTGTGTCTCCACGCAATCAGATGAACCGGTAAGGCTATTATTGGAACCACTGCTCTCATTCAGGAGACCGTCACAGCCATTCTCCATAAGATCATTGCTGCTTATCCCATGACATATTGACTTTTCCTCATGCCCATCCATTGTAGACGCCAATTCCTCACAGTCATGGATAACACAAATTTGGGAAGCGAGGCTTTTGGTGCATGACAGACTTACGGGGTACTCTATTGCACCATCACTTACAGACCTCTGAAGAAGTGGCCTCGCTTCTGTAGCTGACAGGTTCTCATAGCTCTTACTGATTAGGGAAATCTTGAAACACGGCTCATGAGTTTTAATTGAATTCAATATTAAAGAATCTGTGTCTGACAGCTGCTGAGGACTGTTTTTTCCGGAAGACCATGCGTCACTATCTATGACCTTTGCAGAGGACTGTGAACAAACACTGTCCTGAGAGTGACTAGAGGCGCTTGTCTGGCCAGCGAATCCATTGACCACTACTGGACAATCAAAACGGATATCCTGCATTGCATTTATTAGTAAATTGTAGGCTTCTTTCAACTGGATCGTAAGTCTGTCAGTTTCCAGCGCACTGCCGCAGTTTCTGACTTCAAACTGACCAGAACTTTTTCCATCGTTAATTTCAATGTTTTGAGACTCAGATTCATAAAAAGGCAGATTTTCATTATCATAGTAATCGTCGTCTTCGCTGTCTAACGAATGGCGTTGGGCTCCATCTCTAACGCACTGGGGACGATCGTTCCCATCGCATATCTGCAGCTCGGTGGGGAAAAACGCAGTATTTTGAAAACTTATTTTATTCAACCCGGTGGGTTCAGGTGAACTGCCGTAACTTTCTATATTTCTTATCAAAATGTGTTCCTCTACTTTATCACGATCAAACTGATACACCCCAGGAGCCTGAAACCGATAGGTCTGCGTCTCATTATTAGCATCGTTTGTCCGCATACCGGCATTGTTTCTCACCACAAAGGCATCGATAAAACCCCTTCCCTGGCAGGGGATCCGTAAATCATCTTCACAGCTTTTATTCTTCGAAAAAGTTTCGTCTCTGCCTGTCACTTTAACATCTGCACGCACCGTTTTACCGTTTTCAGTGTAATTTTCACACGTCCCAAATCCTATAGAGTCCCCAAGTGAATACTTTCGCACGGGGACAGCGTGCTGATTCTGTCCCCGACTCCCAAAGCAATCGGGTCGCACTTGTCCGGCGAAATGAAGCTCCTGCCTATTAAACCCCACCGCATTTTTGACGCTCTCAGTTGCCGAAGTTTGCCTTTGATCTCGGACCCCCAGGAGCTCCTCATTAACTCCTAGGTTTTCACCGGCCCGATCATTCCCCAGTCTGAAGCTAATGTCCATGAAAGCCCCGTACTGGGACACTTCATTGCTAATCATTGTATTCTCACGCACTAAACCCATGTCGCTATTATTAAATCCCCCGTAAAAAACGCTCGCCTCACCCCACATAGTGTCGGGCATATCACTTAACTCAGGTATAATTATTGCTCGTTGCTTCTGCTCCTTTCGTTTTGGCAAAAGTTCGTCTTTACCTTCTCCGCCCCCGTTAGCCGACAGGCTGAATCCGGCAACTGCGCTCCCTTTCTTGGATTTCTTCCCACGGAGTTTTGCTAGTATGGTCCTCCGCAGAGGATCGGCCATTCCTCTCTTGTTCGCCCCCCGTCCGCCTGTCCGCTTTCAGCAGATGCGCTTGAGGGGGCAGCGGCGAGCAAAGCGCTTTGTAAGTCCTGCGACGCGAAGCCCGCAGCGGTCCGCGATCTGTCCCATTCTGGGCGGCCAGCGCTCCGCTTAGATCGCTTACCAGCGCTCGCCCCAGTCTCCTTTCTGCCTCGCACACATGGCTCGCTTTGCGCTGCCCCCGCTCTCTCGCCTTTGCTCTGCCCCCCTGTCTCTCTCCCCTCCTTCTCCCCCTCCTTCTCTCTCCTTCCTTCTCTCCCTCTTCGCTTGCTGTTCAAATACTTGGAATATTTTCTGGCGGAGGTGAAAGGCTAAGCGGGTTGCCCAAGCACCATCACGGCGCACCTTCTCGGACTTTAATCGCGCTGCTGCCGCACGCATTCTGCTCTTTCGTCCGTCGCAAGCTGTTAGTTTTCTGTAATTTATTTTATGCATGGAAAATGGTGGAGTTCGGAGGTTTTAAAACGTTATTTAGCGGGCTTCTTATAATTTTAAAACTTTAGATATGTACTGGGTTGTTGTCAACCTGAGATATTTATGCAATTTCTTTTCCGAGTGTCATACTGCTAACAAGACTATTACAAAATAAGGCTACACTACACATGGCTTTTGTGTTACTGTACGGCGCCTCAGTTACTGTGTAAAAAAGGTCAGTTACAAACAGTTAGACTGCGATCGGTCCGCGCTTTGCCGCTTTAAGATAAATAAAATTTGCTTTATCAAGTTATAAATTAAGGTGTACGGGGAAATATAAAACGTTGTTGTATACTGTTAGAAAAGGGTACACCCCTGTTAAAGTTTAGTACCCCCAATCGTACAAAAATATTCCTCAGAGTCCATTTCTATACTTTAAAAGGCACATTTATCTATACAGGTAGGATACAACTGCAGCAGACCCTTAAGGGTACAGCCCCAGCGACGTACCCTCAAAGGTACAAATTAGTACCTTTTTCTATCTTTTTCTATCAGTGTAGCCTATAAAGCCAGAAAGACATTAAATATAATGTATAATGTTATTTCATAGACCTACTTTTATTATTGATGTTTGTTTAAGAAAATAAATCAATAAAAAACGGTGGGCCCCATAAACACTATATAGCCTATATGCAATTCGGTCAACAATTTCCATTTTAAGATATATAGTTGAATATAGTTGCTTGCTTTAATGGAATTGTAATTGGAAATAATTCTGGATTAATATATTTGGGCTGAGAACGTTCTCTTAATTCAGATAATTGCAAGCTTTGGCTTGGAGTAATCTCTATAGTTAGTGGACAAAACGGCATGAGTTATTCAGTAAGCTGCTGCCTGAATGGGCAGGCAGGACAGAATTGTTGGTATTATGTGCCATGTTGTCAGCGTGAGTCTGGCACTGACATTGCTATGAATGCGTGAAAAATCTGCCATTTGTAAACAGGTTTCCGCAGCACAGACCCGTCGCACTGCAAGCTGTTTACAGCGTCTACCACTTTGTACGAGGAAATCAAAGAAGTTTTTCAGTATGTAATTACTCTGCCTCACTTTGACCGTGAATCAGTCTATTTAAGAAAGTGAGATGTTTATTCAGCTTCAGGTCCTCGTGGGAAATACTGATTAAAGTCAAAACTATAGGAATAGTGCTACATATTCACTCAAAGCTAATCTTATAATAAGTATGATAAATAATTAAGTAGTTTATTTTAATATTAGTATAGAGATAACTTGCTATAAGGGTATTTTATTGCAGGACACATCTTCTGTATCACCAGTTACAAAAAGCTAGAGAAAACGTATCTCACAGCTTTTGCTAACATCTGAAAAGAGTGAGTATTTACACCCTGCAGTGAGGACTCTACTAGGACCACATGGCAATGGCTTGACTAAAGGAATCTTTTACACTATAACTGCAAAACTTGTACAAGTGAGGAGGGTAAATCATTTACTGGAGAGCAAACTGTGAATCGAAGATTTCTTCGTCTAAAGATCCTTCTTAGAGTCAGCATATAGAGTCAAATTTTGGAAGTGGTGTCCTAGAGATCCATGGAAGAGTCACGTCTTCCTCGTGGATCGTAAAAACCGGGGCCACATTCACTTCCCACATACTTAAGGAAGTATGTGAGGAATCTGCACAAAGCCTGTAGCAAGTTTATCCATGTGGAGCCAGGACCACAAAATGCTGCAGTCATGCATCATCTTGGCCATTTCTGTGCCAGCGGCTGTCTGAAAATCACAGAGCACCAATTTACCGAGATGCCTATAGAGGGCCATATCGAATTCCGACACAACATGCTAATGTCACCTAGTCACAGTGAGCTGACAGGCCAGACAGTAACAGTGAATGCGCATACACAGGTTACCAATATTATCGAAGGGCATAGACTGACATAGTGTCACTGGATGTAAGTACCACTATTGGCTGATAAATTAGTCAGTACAGTTAATATTAACTTAGTGTAAGTCTAATATATACATAAAGATCCTATATCATTAAACCAAATTGCTACATATAAAGTGAAAATATAAAACAGTCTCTTTACAGATATGTTTGTCTGCACAGATGGTATAATCTAGTAAATATAGCCACTCACAAATGTAGGTTAAAGCTTCATTAAGCAAAAGGTAATGTACTGAGTCATGTAAAAAGTTTATATTTCAGTGATATTATAGTTATAGATCATGGGAAAACTTTACTAGCGAGTTCTATACATATGTTGCTGCAGCATCCACCAGACAAATGATGTAAAGAAACCAGTTAACAAGTACATTGCGGATGTTATATACAGAAGAACAAGCATTTGAACTATTTGTAACTCGTCTCCTGCTGTCTTTCATAGGTCAACCTAACCCCGACTAAATTCCTATTATTATATTTTCAACAGCTGTAGTGTTTTGGTGCATACCACACATGCATGCATGAACTTAGCTGTACTGTCAACAGTACACAGTCTGCCATTACACTCTAATTTCAGTATTAGGCAGATCTTATGACTTTTTGAAAAATTATTATCCAGAAATGTAATTTATTGCATGTTTCACCCAGGGCTATGGCTCTTAGTTGCTGGTGCACATTTTGTATACAGCATCTTAACTATCATAGTTATTCAGAAATTGTGTGATGGTAATTCTCTCAGTTCAATGCAGCTCTGTTTCATCCACATAATATTGATTGACCAATAGTTCTTTTTATAAGGATATAAATCTGCTAGCTAGGTTTTAGGGTTTAACATTCGCGTTGCATCTCATTGCTGCAGGTCAATGTCCATTCCTCCATCTTCATATGTGTATCCAATATATGACTGCAGTCTATCCAAGGCAGCTTAGAACACAAGACAATTAAATTCTGTGCATGAGAGGCCAGTCCAGCACTAAAGACATAAGAAAATTCATCAGCATCTTAAAAAAACCCCAATTTGCCCAGCTAGCAGTTCCATTTTTTATCTTTGTTAATGTTTTTTCTCAACATTTTGGGAGCAAGAGGTATACTGTGGTAAATTTCACAAGAATATATATGTATGTATCATCTGCATAAAACTTTTATTGTCGTCCTTTAATGTCAGCCCAAGTGAAAACATATTAATGAAATTTTAAACTGCCCTAGAACTGATCCTCGAGGATGTTCCCATTTGTTACTATTAGAAATGAAAAAGAAACCAATTAGAACAAGCATAATAGGCAACAAGTCATTAAGGCAGCTGATTGAAGAGTACTTACCATCTGAAACAGAAGCCGTCCATATTCCAGCTGTTTATGCAGTATTGGGTCACAGGGTATCACAGAGAAGTACAGAAAGCACAGGGAGAGCACAGGGCGACACCGTAGATGGGATGCCAGCGCATCTCAGGGGACACATGCACACAACACAATACGGACAATTCAAAGTTGCTCGGTCCCTTAGGTACATGTTTATAAACTTTATAGGGGAAACTGGATTCTAACCATACCATCCAATAAAATGACATATCTGCTCATTAAGGAGACCTTTTTAGATAAATGCAACTTTAAAGTTGGCGTACTTGTATTTTGAGTCTTTCTATTGAATGGCCAATACAAGATGGAATCGTCCCTTTACATAATTCAGAAGCAAACGCAGAATGAAAGACAGAAGAATTATATGTGGCTTCTTACGATTGGCCGTCTTCACGAAACTGATTTGATTTTATAAAATCTTCTTCACAAAATATTTTGTTTTATTCATAGGTGTTTTCATGCAAAATGTACATTAACTGTTAGATCTTGACATTCTGTGGTGACTGTTACATTAATCTGTATTATTATTTTCATTTGCGGTTTGTCGGTAATTGTACAGTCGGCGCACTGTGTATTTTGGTTAAAAACAAGAGAAGAAACAATCCCAGAGATAACGGGAATCTTTATTAACACGTCTCAATTAACTGCCTGCCAGTGTTTCGCAGTGTCTTATTCAGCTATTCAATTAGATTACATAACATCATTCTCAGGATTCTGTCACCAGGTGCCTGAGAAACACAGTCTCATTCCAAGCTCCTTCGGTCAGTGAGATCTAAAGACTTTTCTACACCAAAGCATATAAAGATTGTTACCCAAATTTCTCTCTCTCTCTGTGTGTGTGTGTGTGTGTGTGTGAGTGTGAGCGGGTTTACCTATCCTTATGGGGACATAATGTCCCCATAACGTGATAAATATCCGTTTGTTTTTTCCTTATGGGGACCGGTTTCCTGGTCCCCATAAGGGAAAACTCTATTTTATAAAAATCGGTGACTGCTATGAAAAAACTAAAAATGCAAAAATTCTTGTTACTTATGGTTATGGTTAGGGCAGGGTAGGGGTTAAGGTTGTCATAGTTAGCGTTAGCATTTTTCCCATTGAAATGAATGAGCGGTCCCCATAAGGATATGTTTACCCTACGTGTGTGTGTGTGCGTGTGTGAAACTGTCAGAAGAAACAGTATTTCAGAATCAAGGACTCTAAAAGAAATAACGATTTATCTTTATTTACACTGACAATCCATTCACTCTGCTTAAGGATTTCATGATTCAGGATAAAAAAATATATAATTAGCATTCAGTCTTGGCAATCGTTTGTGTAGTGTAACAATTATGTTGCTGTTTTTTGTGATATTGCACACATTGTTAAAAGAGGCGAAATGACATTGAAAGCAGTAGTAGTTTTAAATTAAAAATGACTGGAAAAGGATTGATTTACTGGAGAGATTATCACATTTTGGA